CAGGCACGAAAGCCGAGCAGGAGGCGGCAGGCTCCGCCAGAACCATAAAGTGCAGCGGGCGAACGGGAATTCAATGATGTGTTTTAAGAAGTGTCTTTATGGCACTTTGCAATATGGTATTCAGAGAGGTAAGGGCAGGCTGGGGCACCGAGGCGGGGCTCCTCTCCTGGAGAACGCCGGGTGGGCAGGGCTGATGAGGCTGGGCTCCCAAAATGCGGTGACGTGTAGACTTGGTGGCAGGGGCATTAATCACCAGTGCTCACGGTCCCCCAAGAGCAGGGTCTCATCAAAGCCCAAGGCACAAACAACGAGGAGACAGAGCACAAGGCACTCTGGAGCGTTTCAGCTCTCCCTAGGCCTCCTCCCCTCTGCCCGCACTGGGATGTGCCAAGTCTGTCCCCAGAAGACAGGTGGGAAGAGGGCCTCCCCCCGCCCCCATTCTCAGGTGTGCCTGGAAAATTTGCTGTTTCAGCAGTCAAATCAGATAAATCATCCACCCTGGATGGAATCCCACAGGGGTTGAAATTAGTCCTGGCCCCTGCTCAGTGTGCTTTGAGGGTAGAGCACAGGTCTGTCTTGAACCACCAGGGAGAGGAAACGTGGCTGAGGATGTGCAGGGTCATGGCTCCAGCACTTGAGGCACATCTGCAAGAACCCAGTGTCACTGTGGCCGGCATTGAATAGAGGGAGGAGACAAACCTGAGGGGTGAGGGGGCCACAGGGACCCTCTAGGGCCATGGTTTCTGATGTGATCCCAGCACAACCTCAAGCCGGTGCTGGTGGTCCCATTTTACAGATGAAGAAACTGAGGCTCAGGGAATGTGGAAGCAGCAGGGCTGGGCTTGCCCACGTCTGACAACGCCAAGGCCCCTTCTCTTTTTAGCACACAATTCTGCCCCAGTGTGGCCTGGAACAAGGATCCAAGGCCAGGCCTCTCCTGTGGTGACATAGCCCCCAGATTTCCCCAAGGGCCCCACCTTAAGTCCCCTCATGCCCAACTGCCTTAACAGCAACATGGTTTCCACAATCTTCTGATGAAAAGGCACTACCTGGGGGGATAACGAGGCATGCCAGAACTGAGGGAATTAAATTAGAGAAACTAACTTTTGGCCAGTGAAATCAGATACTGCAGAAGTCTCGAAAAAAGAGTCTCCTAGTCAGGATGATCCAACCTGATGGTACCGACCTACCTGGAGGGAGAATGGGTCCCAGAAGTGGGCAGTCAGCTTGGACATAAAGAAAAAGCCCAGAGCAAGGCTGAACTTGGCCATCTGTCCCACTGACAAGCTGGACCATGGGCTGGGGCATCCTGTGCCTGGACCCAGTGCAGTCACTCAACACCATATATAGACAGAAATATTGAGCAACTGCTCAGGAAAGGGAATCCTTGGTGGGTAGGTTGACCTCTTTGCCAGCAGAGAAGCTTGCCCGCCCTGCCTAGGGCAGTGGGATTAGCTTATGAAATCATTCAACCAGCCACTCATGGGAGACACATGTTGCTGGGCAACTCTAAGACTAAGATGTGGCTTCCATGTGGCTTTCGCATAGGGAGAGGAGGTCCTGTCCAGGCACACATGACCCACTGCCATTATATTTCCGCACTGAACTGCACATCAGGCTTCTGACCTATACATCAGTCTCTTGTGAGTTTGGTTACTGTGTGCCAGTCTTTGAGAGGGGATCATCTCAAGCAGACAAGCATTTGGAGGCCTATCTAGGTATATACCTGAGAGAAATGAGAGCATATGTCCATCAAAGACATGTATAAGAATGTTCAGAGAAGCTTTATTCACAAGAAACCCAAATGCCCATCAACAGGAGAATGGGAAACTGTGGCATATTCCTACGATGGAATACTATACAGCAATAAAAAAGAGCAAACTGTCCCTTCGCTCAAAAACGTGGACGAATCATGCAGATACTGAGTATAAGGCACCAGACACACTGTATGCTTTTGTTTATATGAAATTCAAGAAGAGAAAAAACGAATAGGTAAAAGAGTAATTAGCTCTAGAGGGTACTGGTTGGAAAGAGGCTCCTTCTGGGATGATAACAATGTGCTACCTTTTTATCTATATATTTTTTGGTGGCTGGCCAGTACAGGGATGGAACTCGGGACCTTGGTGTTAGCACCACACTCCAACTAACTGAGCTACCCAGCCAACCCGTTCTACCCATCAGTCAGAGCAGTGGCTGCATAGTTGGACACACTGTACACTTAAGATCTACTCATTTGAGGGCCGGCCCGTGGCTCACTTGGGAGAGTGTGGTGCTGATAACACCAAGGCCACAAGTTCGAATCCCTATATAGGGATGGCCGGTTGGCTCAATTGGGAGAGTATGGTGCTGACAACACCAAGTCAAGGGTTAAGATCCCTTTAGCAGTCATCTTTAAAAAAAAAAAGATCGGCACATTTGATACACTTCACTGTATGATCTAACTCAGCTCAAAGTGTCATTTGAATGTAATGAAAAAAATGCAGGGGTCTTCAAGGACTATGACCAGACCCCAATTAGACTCAGAGTCCAGCTGTGGCAGCCCCCTGGGCCTCACATAGTGTGATGGTTTTAAAAATAATGCCTGCACATTCTTTGTGAGTCTTCCCTTCAAAAGGTGGGGGCCTCATTTCCCGCTCCTGGAGTGTGGGCCAGACTCCCTGTCTTGATTCTAAGCCCCAGAATAAAGCAGAAGAGGGGGTGTGGGACTTTGAAGACAAGGTTCCAAAGAGGCACAGTGCTTGCCTCTCGGCCTAATCACGTGCTCTGGGGGAAGCCACCTGTCATGTGCGAGGACGTTCAAGCAGCCCTGTGGAGAGGACTCCGTGCTGAAGGACAGGCCTCTGGCCAACAGCTATCTCACGGGTGTGGGCCTCTGGGAAGCAAATTCTCCAGTCCTAACCAAGCCCAAGCTGACCTCATGAAGCCCTTGAGCCAGAACCATCCAGCTAAGCTACTCCTAGATGCCTGACCCTCAGAGACTGGGAGGTAATACAAGTCTGCTGGTGGTTTTGTTTTGGTTTGGTTTTTGGCAAAGTTTGCTGTTTGAAGCCACTAAGGTTTGGGGTATTTTTGTTATACAGCAATAGATAACGAAAACACAGTGAGACCTCTGTGTCTCCCCCACCAAAAGCTACCATCTAACGCCTGCTGTGGAGCTGGTGGCAGTGGGACCTCCCAGCCCAGCCCCACTCCCTGGGCCTGGCCAGCTGTCACTCAATAATAGGCCTGGAATGCCCTTCCTTGGCTAGCTCTTTCTCATCAGGTTCTCATGGGTTCAGGCCCCCTCCCCAGCTCAGGCAGCCCTTCTGCCTTAGTTTCTTCATCCCACTGACGTTACCTGGCATGATCTCATTTACCTGAACATGTTCTCTAGTGTTTCTTCCACTAGAGTACAATCTCCATGAGGATAGGGCCTTTGCCTGACTCATGGCTGACTCCCTGCACTGCAACAGCACTGGCCACATAGCAGGTGCTCAATAAAAATTTGCTGAATGAATGGAAATCTCAGCTCCAAGCCAAATAGGAGACCCCAATGACACCACAGCCACCTGGGAACCCCTGGCCCATCAGCTTCATGACGTTTGGCGGTTTTTAGCAGCATCAAGGAATGCGGAGTGGGTGGGGGAGATGGGCAGCAAGATCCTAGAACAGCAGCAGACCCTAGAACGGGTGCCTGGGCCCATCGTCTCCCCAGCTCTCCTTCCCACCATCCTGGCTTGCTGTTGTCTCACAGAGAGCGGGAAAGCAGGGCTCCCCATAGGGACAGTGATTCCCCCTGTGGGGGTCTCTGCCAGCCCCCCACAGCCCTATCCGTGCTGTAGGTGTTCTGGGGCACGAGCTGAGGGACATGTTCTGTTTGCTCACGGAGTACAGTCTGGTGCTTTCTGCCCGCACTTTAAGTTCACGGTGCAGGCAACGCAATTCATGACAGGAGTGAATCATTTTGATTTCCATCACCAGTCCCAAGACAGCCACCTACTCTTCACTCCCAATCACAGCCGCCCCAGGCCGGCCTGCCTAGTCGCAGGCCGCACCCACCCAGCCACGCAGCCCAGCCAATGAGCCGCCTTCCCCGTGCTTTTGAAAGAGGATCCAGCCCGGAAGAGTCGCCAGAGCCCAGGAGGCAGGCCCTGAAGGGCAGGGGCAGCTGGATGGCCAGACAGGGCTATTTGGGGCTCTGTAGGTCAGGCTCCCTCCCTTCCCAGTCCTGCTACTCATGCCCCGTCCAGGAGGGGGGGAGTGGTTTGATTTGGGGGTGGGGGTGTCATTGGCTCTCACAGGCGCAATACTTCACCTCTGTCCTGCTCCCCAGCTCCTCCAACCTCTGTCCCCAAGGAACAGGGCAAAGACTGCTCACAGGTGGCCAGAGGCCAGCGATGAGGGCAAAAGACACCAGGTCACGTGCCCAGGAAGGCCTGCAGCAGGGCTGGCATGGGGTAGAGGCGGGACAAGCCTCCCAGAGAGGCCACTCTGCGGGGCTAACTGACCCCACAAGGTGGGACGCCAGCTCAGAGCTGTCCTCTGAGGCCACTCACTGCCACTCTGCCTCAATGCTGCCACTTGAGAACCACACTATGCAAAGCATGAGGAGTTCGGGATCCTAAACTCGGCTCTGCCACAAACTCCCTGGGTGACCTTGGAGAAATCGGCTCTGGCACTGGGCCACAGTTTTCCTCCTGCACAATGGAGTAAGGTGGTGAGTCCTGGATGATCTCTGGGGGTGCCCTGTGACCCATGCCAGTGGGGTAAGGCCGCCTTCCTCACACTCCCCCGACTATAGGCCTGGACCAGGCCTGGAGTGAACTGGTTTGTGGGGCTGGACACACGGGGGTGGGGGCGTGGCTGTGCAGTAGCGGGGATGGATCCATTCCAGCGCAGATGGGGCCTCTACTTCCCCAGGTCTCTCGGGTGGAAGAGGCTGATCGTGGGGGGCTGTCCAGCCGGGAAGACCCACGTGGGGCCGCCCTCGCCCCTCGCGCCCCCCACGTGCTTACACTTACATTTTGCCTCCTTCCAGTCGGTGGAGGTGCTCAGGTCCACCTTCGCCGCCATGGCCAGGGGGGCCCAGGTGCGCACCCCGGCTCTCCGCCCCACCGCCGCTGCCCCCCAAGCCCCAACTCCCGCTGAGGTCCGCGCGTGGGGGCCGCACGCACTGCTGCGGGTCCGCGTGTCACCCGCCGAGGGGCCGGGCCCGGGGCGCGGGGCGACGAGCAGCTGCCCCGCCACGCGCAGCTGTGCCAGGCGGCCGGACACTCGGCTCCGCAGAGACATGAGCGGGCGGCGCGGGGCGGCTCCCCGCCCACTTGGACTCTATTTACGGTGCTCGGGAGAGTCTCTCCCTTATTGACTCAAGGACCCGGTGGCGTGTGCCAGCCCGCGGCGACCTACTCGGAGCCGGCGGGCGGCGCGGCCAGGAAACCCGGGCGCGCCGCTGGGCACCCTGGAACTTGTAGTCTCGGCCGCCGCACGGGCCCGCGCACTCGTACACACACGTGCGCGCCCCGCCCGGGCCCGCCCTCCCGTGGGTGCGGCCTCGGCCCC